GGTGACCTCCTCTGGAACCATCAGATCCTCTGGAGCAGAAACAAGGGTGGGGGTGGGGATGGAAGAACAGAGCCTGGGGCACCCCCAGGTGATGGAAAGTGCGCTCCACCTGTTGGGTCTGGGAGCTTCCTCCTGCCTCTCCCCCACTCCCAGGCTTCCCACGGCAGGCAGGATGGGGACTGGCCGAGGTCATGTTCTCACACAGACAGAGACAGGAGTTCTGATCTGGGGCCCTGAGCAGCTACTGATAGTTCCTTGGGGAGCTGGGTTTGTTCAAAGCTTTCTTCTCCTTCCCCTGCCCCTTGGGGCCTTGGGAGAGTTTTGAGTACTCTTGAATCCAGCCACGTTCTCTCCATACTGTGAGCCCCTGGAGGGCAGAAGAGGGTCCCAGCACCCAGTACATAGTAGGTGCTTAAGAATGACGCTTGCCTGGAGTTTACTTTGTGCCAGGCGCTGTACTAAGAGCTTTAAAAATGTGAACTCCTTTCATCCTCAAGACAACCCTGCAAGGGAGGTACTGTGATTATCTGCATTTTACAGATGAGGCTCAGGGAGGTGGAGTCCCTTGCCCAAGGTGGCACAACTAATAAGAGGTGGATTTGAACCCAAGCAATCTGGCTCCAGTCATCCTCTTCCACTAGTTAACATGTATTTGTTAGATGGAATGAACTCAGGTGGTGAGTGGATGTCCCTGAGGTCACCAATAAATGAGGGCAGACCTGGGACCCAACTACTCAGACCAGAACAGCCTTGGGGGCTTAAGGTCCTTGGGTTCCCACACTCCAGCAGGTGGTAGGTGATTGTTCCAGGATGAGCCCCATTTCTTCTCAGGGGGTTGATGGTGCCAGGTGTTTTGCTAACAGGAAACCAAAGTAGTCTCCTGAGAAGCTTTCCTCAAAGGCTGGAGAACCTTCTTTTGCTTCCTTCAAGGTCATCCCAGATGGGGTGGCTTTTGCCAAAACTGTGGATGGGATGAGCATGGGGGAATGTGAAAAGAGACCGGCGGGAAGGGCCAGGAGTGGACAGACTGGGGGTGTGTGGGAGTGGGGAGTTATGTAAGATGGAGCCCTGAGGGGCACCCTTTGGGTTTTTCCACTCTGAGGGAAGACAAAGTGGTCTGGGAAGTGGCTGGGGATGCTCTGGGGTCAAAGCCAGAGGCATCTCATTGTGTGGGGGTGGGGCTTCTGGTCTTATTAACCTTAGTGCCATGGGCCAAGGGTACAGGGAATGGAAGGACAGACTGGGGGCAAAGAAAAGAGGAGAATGGAGCTGGTCACTTGGCAGTGTTGCTTTTTTAATAGGAAAAGAGAGGCTGGAAGTCAGCCTGGGGGAGCCCAACTGAAAGCAGGAATGGGGGAGACCAGCTGGGCCAAAGCAGGTGCAACTGATGAGGAGGGATGGTTCCCAGGCGTCTCAGGATCGCTTGAGTCAGAAGTCTGAGAAGCTCCTATCTGCCAGCTTAGAATAGCAATTAGCAAGTTCCCAAAGTACCTGTCCTCTGCTCTTCAGTTCAGAACACTGGTCACTGCTTTGGCCAATGGCATTTGACCTGACTGTGGAGCAGTGTTTTTTTTAAAACCTCCAGTTTTGTCTGGATTTATTAGACTAATGAACCTCACTTGATCTTCTCATGTTTACCCCGCTGGGAGCTCAACTAACATGAGGGCAATTGAGATTTTCTCAGGCCTGGGGGAGCCAGGGAGTTGAGTTTCTTCAAGGGGCGGGGGAGGGGGGAAGGGTGGTAATCTTGCCCACTGGCCCAGGAATAGACTGGACCCTGCACCACCTAGAATTCTTCTGAGGTCCAGGAAGAAACCCTCCCTAGCACATGGGCATATGTAGGAGAGTTCACAAGCACCATTTAAAGAAATGCCTTGAAGTGCTTTCTAAATTTGATGTCATGGCCCTATTTCTTCAAAGAAAGTATGATCTTAGACCACAAAGTAGAAAACAAATAAGAGGGAAACGGGGTCCTGGAAGGGCTCCCAGCTGTCTTCCTAGGCCCTGCAGGGCATTGCCAAGGAGCCTTCTTTGAGACAAGCCCTGGGCAGACCAAGGCCCAGCATGGCCTGAGGCCCTTGTGCGGTTGGCTGCCTTTCCTGACCATTAATCACTACTAAGTGTCATTACCGCTAATAAAATTAACCGACTTTATACTGGACTCCTGGGGCCATCAATCACAGGGTCTATTACATGAAATTAAAAAAAGAGAAAAAAAAAAAAGGTGCCTATGGATTGGGAAAGGGTGCCCAGCCTGGCTCACAAGTGCAGCCTAGGGCACGCTGGTACTCCATAGCTGTCAGAAGGTCATTATCAGGGACGGCATCCTTAGTTAGACAAACCAACTCCAAGCCTTGACACTGTACTACAGGTAGGAGTGTCTCAGGCAAGAATGTGGTTGACCTCAGGAAGACTCTAGGACCAGGGGCTGAAGTGCTTTCCAAATTCTTCTTCCCACTTTCACCTCCGCTTCCCTTGATGCCTTTCATTCATTCTTTCTCTCTCTTTAGACCAGCTTCCTCTTTTTATCTCCTGAGTTACAGGCCTAGTCACCCAAAGAAAGAAAAAGAGAGAAAGTGCTCTCTTAATTCAAATTCCAAATTCCCAGAGAAAGGACTGATTGGCCCATCTTGGGTCATGTGATCCTCATTGGCCCAATCAACAGGCCAGACCAGCAAGGTCATGTGGTATAAAATGGCCTACAAGGGCCACATGATAACCATCGATAAAAGGAACAGGTAGACAGCCAACCCAGCAAGTGACCACAATTGTAATTTAAAGGGCTTAGCAATGAGCACTCAAAAAGTGGTAGATAATATAATGTATAATGTAGCTATAATGATATAATAATAATAGCTATTCTTCTTAAAATGGCATTTGAGACAGGCCTTGAAGGATGTGTAGCCCCATTGGTCAAAATTCCCATCACTCCCTGCTTGTTCTCTCATCTGTCAATCAGCTGCTACAAGGAAGGTCCCAATTTCTGAAACACAGGAACTGTGTGAGCAGAAGTTGTCTCTCACATCAGCCCATGGTGTGGAGGAGGACATTTGAGGGGTAGATGGCTGCTGCCTCTGCTCCCTGCAACCCCTGAGTGGCCCTCCATACTGAAAACCAGTCAGGGTGGGACCTCCTCAGCTGGAGTTGCCATCAGGTTCTGCTGTGGACCTGCCAAGGGTCAAGCTCTAAGGGTTTCCTGCCAGGCTGCAGGGAGGGGTTTGGGTATAGACCTGGTGGACTGGAAATTTACCCATTTGCCCCCAGATTAATGATTAACGGGTCCCGGCCCTCACCCTGTCTGGGAGGGGAACCCAGGGCCAGGCTGGGCCAGGAGGAGTCTGATAGCATCTGTCTCTGCTCAGAGGTTTCAGAGATATGCTCCACACTGGGTTGGCTGCATCTGATGGATTTGGAATCTATGGGTACTTTCGGGGGGCACCTGGGACCTGGCCAGGATGCACACCCTCTCTGGGGCAGACAGGGAGAGGGTGTGGCATCCAGCCAGATGTCCTGGCTGGGGCAGGTTGCTCCAAACAGGAGCGCTGTGCCCTTGACTCCACGGGACGTAGGCCTTTCTGACCACTCAGGCTTGGCCAGGGCTTGCCTTGGCCGGTGGCACATGAGCAGGAGTGACAAGTGCCACATCCAAGCAAAAGCTTGAAGAGCCATCGCTCTTTAAGAGCCACCTTTCCTCTTGTACCTTGGCTCTGAGGCTGGCATGTTCCAGAAACGGGCTGCCTCCTGGGTCCAGGATGATTTATATTCCACCCACACTGAGGGCCACCAGGGTACAGGACAGTAAATATTTTGAACCAGTGGAACCATTTCACAGAGAGCTTCTGAGGAGAGCGAAGGTGAGTTCTAATTCTAGTTCCCACTGTGTTGCTTATCAGCTGGGTGACGCAGGCCATTCTCTGCCTCTTCCTAAAACATCTGTTTCCTTATCTGGACAAAGGGAAGATTCTGTCAAAGTTAGAGAATAAAGCATCTTGCAAGAGAAAAGAATTTTGAGAAACTCCAGCTAGTAGGGAGGTGAACCAACATGTCCCAGGCTCCGTGGCTAGTACTTTTCATGCAATCCTCCCAGCAGCCTCAGGAGGTAGAGAGGATCACTACTTACACTTTCCGGAGCAGAAAAGCAAAGCTTCAAGATTTATAGCTAGGAAATAAGTGGGGGTCAGGCTTAAAACCTGGCCTGGGACTCCAGAATCCACGGACTTTCAGTTAGAGAAGAAGAAGCCTGGGGCTGATGGCCTGATGGAAATTCAGCTCCTTCACCTTCATCCACCCGTCTGTCAGTCTGCCCGTCCATCAACCTACCCACCTCTTCCCTTCTTCCCACGCATTCTTTCCTCCAGCCAGGTATTCCCCAACCATCTCTTTGTAACAGGCACTGAGTGGCCAGATGGTTGAAGATCTATCTGGGAATGATGCAAACAAGTTGGGATGGGTTTACTTGGGTGGCAACATAACGTAAGAGAGAGAGGGCTATCAGGGAGATGCGCTGGGAATCTGCTCAACATCTGCACCCCGCCGCCTGCCCCCTCTTAGGACTGTGGGCTCCCCGCCAGGCAGCAGCCAATACCACATGCAGTATTTCCCAAACTTCCCTCATCATCCAAGCTGCCCAAGGATGTGGTAAATACGCAGGTCCCCAGGCCCCACTCCAGAACAACAGAAGCACCCCAGATGATGGTTCGATTGGGAAATTTGAGAAACCGGGTGGGTAAGAAAAGCAGAGACTTTGGCATCTGGGTTTGAGATCCCACACTAGCCCTTGTTGTAAGCACCTTGGTTTCCTACTCTACAAAATGGGGACATACCCCATGGGGCCAGCCTCCCTCCTAGAAGGGCAAATAATGAAGTCCCCAAGAAGGCCCCCTTCCCTTCACCTGCCTATGTCCTCAGGGAGGGATTGTCATCCTCTATGTCCCCTCCCCCACCCCACCCCCATCACAATCCCCAAGGATCACAGGTCTCCTTTCTCTCGCCCCTTTTAGCCTGACTGGGCGGGAAGTCCTGACACCCTTTCCAGGGCTGGACACGGCGGCAGCCCCAGCGCAGGGCGGGGCCCACCTGAAGCAGTGTGACCTGCTGAAGCTGTCCCGTCGGCAGAAGCAGCTCTGTCGGCGGGAGCCCGGTCTGGCTGAGACCCTTCAGGACGCTGCCCACCTAAGCCTGCTAGAGTGCCAGTTCCAGTTCCGGCACGAGCGCTGGAATTGCAGCCTGGAGGGGAGGACGGGCCTGCTCAAAAGAGGTAAGGAGGACAGCTAAGGAGAAGGGCTGGGAGGAGGAGGGCTGGAAGGAAGGAGGGCTGGGAGGGAAGCTACCCTTCCCTCACCGTTGTAATAAAAATGTGGCACCTAGGCTACACTGCTCTTGCAAACCCAGCACAGTCCCAAGTGAGAGGAGTCCTGGGAGTTAATAAGGCCCAGATAGTCCCTCAGTTTTGGGGAACAGAGGAGCAAGGAGGACACAGGAGAAGAGGAGGCATAGCCCACCCTGGAGGAGCCCACAGAGGAGATGGCTGGCACCCCAGGCCCCTCCCTCAGCCTCCTTCACATACAAACACACACAACAAGGTACAAGACCATATAACCATGGAAGGCAGTTAATAACTGGCCAAATAACACGACAGGCCGAATTCATTTGTTCACTCCTTCACCTGTTTCTTCATCACTTCTATTGATCCATCTTTCCTTCCCTCCCTCTCTCCCTCCTCCCGCCCTCCCTCCACACCTCCACCTGGCCATCTGTTCCCTAAGCATCACTGAGCCAGGCGCTGTGCTGGGCGCTGGAGGCACAGAGCTGATCAAGACCCCTTCTGCTCTCGCAAAGCATACAGCCTAAGGGAAAAACAGGTCATCCCGTGGCTCCATCACCAAGCAGCAGGGGCTATAGCAGGGACTTTTACAAAAAGGCAGCCATGGTATATAGGAGCCCCCTCGAGGCCAGTGCTCTCCATGGCTGGTCTGGGGCGGAGCTGCCCCCCACCCCCCCCACACACACACAGTGTCACCAGCATGCCAGGTACATAGGAGAGAGCAGACAGAAGGTAGCAAGTTCATGGGGAAAGCCCAGTTTGGGCCACACCCCAACAATGCAAGCGTTGCAATGATCCCAGAAGTGGGTGGATGGTCAGACTGAGATAAGTCAAGCAGGAAACCCAAGGTCACTGTCATTGAATCCCTCCATAGTCAGCAACAGAGAATGACATCTGAGGGCTATTATAAAGCACAGGAGGCCCACAGGGCGTATTTCAGGAGATCTGGGGCTTCAGAAATGGCTTAGTCCAACTTGCTCACACATTGACCTGGAGTCGATATCAGTGGCTTAGCCCCAGCTTTGCCCCTCAGCAGGTGCCTAAGTCACTTTTCTTTGCATCTCAGTGTTCTCATCTGTTCCCTTGTCCTGCCACCTGGGGAGTCTGGGCACACACGCCACAGTGAATTTGAAAGTCCCATTTAAACAGCAACCTGCAGCCTGAGTTTAAGGGGCAGGTGTTGGGGAGGCTGCCGTGAGCCATGTCTGCAGGTTCACACACCCCTCCTTACATACCACGGGCAGCCTCTAAGCCCACTCTCCTTCTCCCTCCCGGATGCCCCCCTGTGCCCGGCCCAGGTTTCAAGGAGACAGCCTTCCTGTATGCAGTGTCCTCGGCCGCCCTCACCCACACTCTGGCCCGGGCCTGCAGTGCTGGGCGCATGGAGCGCTGTACCTGCGATGACTCTCCGGGCCTGGAGAGCCGGCAGGCCTGGCAGTGGGGCGTGTGCGGTGACAACCTCAAGTATAGCACCAAGTTCCTGAGCAACTTCCTGGGGCCCAAGAGAGGAAGCAAAGACTTGCGGGCACGGGCAGACGCCCACAACACCCACGTGGGCATCAAGGTGAGCATGTTCCCGGGTGGTCCAAAGCCCTTCCCAGCCAGGTTGCAGGGCCGGGGACCAAGGTCTGTAGGAGGCCTGGCCCCCCACCCAGCACACACCCAGAGCCATCTCAGGACGAATCTCATTCTTTCAACCAACATTCCTTGGGCATCTACTCTGGACAATTACCAGGGATCAGGAAGCAGGAAAGGGTCCTAGGTGTCATCCTGGGGGCCATGGTGAGGCAGGAACATGTTTGGAGAGGGGTGTCCATTCCAAGGACTGGCCTTCCTGAAGGTCTTAGAAGCCAAGATAGTTGGCTGGTCTGGTGTAACCCCCATGCCTCCAATTTTACAAATGGGAAGAGGAGGAGGCCCAGAGGAGAGAAGGGGCTTAGCTAAGGCCACACAGTAGCGGGAGGATTAGACAGTAAAAAGTATTTAGGTCTATCGGGATAAGAAGACTGGGAGAGGCTAGGGCTTCAGTTCTGTAGGAAACTGAGTTCCGCATTCTGTGCACTCATCACTGAGCTGGTGTAAACCAGGGCTGCTGCATTCAGTTGTGTGGGCTGTCTACTCCACACGAACTCTGAGCCAACGGGAGGGGCTGGGGCTGAGATCCGGTCCACACTGCTCTCACTCAGGTGTGCATGTTGACACAGGACTGCCTCTGCCCAGTGGAAGGGGAGCCTTGGGCTAATTTGCACAAAGGTGGCACATGGGCCAGCTTGAGCCCTATCTGTCCCCCTCGTATGAACCTCCCCCTGTCTCTTTCCCATCCTGCCACACCCCTGCCAGTACTGGGGCTCTGGGGGTCAGCTTGGACTGTGGGCCCTGGGCCTCTGACCACGCCTCCATTCTGCCTCTCCTCGCAGGCTGTGAAGAGTGGCCTCAGGACTACCTGTAAGTGCCACGGTGTGTCAGGCTCCTGTGCTGTGCGCACTTGCTGGAAACAGCTCTCCCCATTCCGAGAGACGGGCCAGGCGTTGAAGCTGCGCTATGACTCAGCCGTCAAGGTGTCCAGTGCCACGAATGAGGCCTTGGGCCGGCTGGAGCTGTGGGCACCCGCCAGGCCAGGCAGTCCCACCAAGGGCCTGGCCCCCCGGCCCGGGGACCTGGTCTACATGGAGGACTCACCCAGCTTCTGCCGGCCCAGCAAGTACTCCCCTGGCACAGCAGGCAGAGTGTGCTCCCGGGAGGCCAGCTGCAGCAGCCTGTGCTGCGGGCGGGGCTATGATACCCAGAGCCGCCTGGTGGCCTTCTCCTGCCACTGCCAGGTGCAGTGGTGCTGCTACGTGGAGTGCCAGCAGTGTGTGCAGGAGGAGCTCGTGTACACCTGTAAGCACTAGGGCTGCTTCCCAGTGTGTTGGCAGGGCACTGCCAGGACCTCACTCGGCGCCCAGCCCCCTTGAGGCCATCCAGCTGTCCAGCCGGCCCCTCCGGGCAGGTACACCAGCGCGCAGGCACTCACTGATGCACGTGCCCGTGCACACCGACTCCTCTCTCCACTGGGCCTTGGCAGTCCTCCCCTCCTTCAACACTCAGCAATGAGAGGTGCAGGCCCCACCCCTGAACCAGAGGGCCCCCAGCCTTTTGGAGGACTTGGACCAGGAAGGCAGAGTGGGAAAGACGTGGAGGGAAATAAGGAAACCAGGAGGAGGCAGGACCAAGGTGTTGGAAGGGAGAGAGGCAATATCCCGCTATCTCGATCCTAGGATGAATGGTCGAGAGCCAGCAAGATGCTGGGAGGTGAGCTCCTAGCCCAGGAAAGTACAGGGAGCACTGTCAGATGGAAGCAAAGGCTGGCGTCTGGCTGGGATGGGTCAGTCCAGCTCTTGGGCCAGCTCAGGTCACAGTGAGCCCAGGGCCCACACACTGTCACTATCCGCATGGCTTCACTGTGCTAGAGATGGGGGTGGGGTGGGGTGGGGGTGGGGGTGACGGGACCTGCTGATTTGGAGAAAAGAAAGCTTTCTGGGCTTCAGTGGACCCAAGTCAGATATGTGTCCTGGAACCCTGTGTCCTTGATTTCATTTTTAAAATATGCCTGTGCTGAGGCCTCATTCTTGTCTTGAGAGCTGTTATCCAGCTCTGCTCAGTAAGATCACCAATGGACACAAGACCAGTAGGGAGAGCCAGTCCCCAGGGTGGGGCTCAGACAGTGCACTGAGATTGCACAGGGAGACAGTGACTCTTCCCCATATTCCCTGGAACATAGAACCTTTAGTCCCAGCCCAGAAGAGGGTGACAGCCCCCTGGTGCCAGGCAGAGACATGGCGAGCTCTGTTTCTCAGCCTCTTCTTGAGCCTGCTTTGATCAACTCCCTGTGGCTGGGGTCCCCATATGCTGTGAGGCCCCAACATGGCTAACATTCGTGATGTAGAAGAGGTGATTTGTGGGCTCTGATTCCAGTTACATTTCTACTCTTATGGCCACTCATCTTATTAATGTTTTTGTCCTGGCTGGATGTATCTGGCTGGAGGTATAGGCATGTGAAAGTCTTGCTAAGCTTGGTTTTTTGGGGGACCCTTCATTTACAGGTGGCCCCTCCCTTTGGCTTTCACCCGAGAAACGGAAGTGACTTTGCTAATTTCCTCCGTTGCTGTAGACATTTCCAGGGCGATTACCAAGGCCCCGTGTAGGAGGAGAAAGAAGCTTGGCGCGCGCGCGCACACACACACACACACTCACACACTCACACACACATACACATACACACACTCACACATACACACACACTCACACATACACACACACACACACACTCACACACTCACACACACATACACACACACACACCCTTTGGACCTGCCAGGCCAAGGGTTCCCGTTCAGCAGTGTACCCCTTGGCTCAGGACCAGGACCTTGCAGGGATCACTTTGCTGGAGGCTGCGTGCTTCCCCAGAGTAGTGCATGATGCCGGCCGGGCGGAAGTGACCTCCTCTGGGACGCCCTTGGCCACTTTGCCGGCCCTGCCGCACCCTCTGTCGGCTTCCTTTTTCCCTGAACCCAGAGTTGCTGACCTTCCACTGAAACAGGAAACTTCAGAAGCAGCTGACTGTTCAGAAATTGTCCATGTAAGCCCCAGGAAGCAGCCCTGGGGCTCCCTGAGACCTCCAAGGGGGCCGAGGAGCTGTCCCATCTTCGGTGGATCAGGGCAGCCTGCTGGAGGCTGAATCTCTGGCAGCAGAGGCTCCGATGAGAAGCTCAGATGACGCGAGACCCCTTCCTAGACTGGCGTTGCTGACCCAAGCAACTGGCCTACATCTTGGCAGAAAGTGCAAAATGGAGAGAGGGCGGGTTTTCTAGTTTCTTCCATCCCCCCACCGCATGGAGTCTTTCTCTCTGCCCGCCTGATCCATCCTGCTCCTCTGAGACCCAGCTCTGTGGACACCCTGGCTCGGCCCAAGAAATAAGGCAGCAGGGAGAAGGGGCCTGATCCACCAATGTGCCGTCTACTCCCCAACTCCATGGCCAGCAGCACTGGGGTAGCTCGAGGAAAGGGGGCCCCTCAGCCTATGGGGCCCTCTCCCCTCTTCTCCTTACTCGCTCCCACACTTTTCTCTTCCAGTTGCTCCCAAAGGTCCACCCCAGCCCTGCCGGGCCCCTGGGGACCAGTGACCACTGACCCCCTCACTCTACAGTTGTAAGGGAAACACTCACAGGGTTTTTTTTTTTTTTTTGGTCTACCTCACATATATAGATTATAGAGCGAAAGAGAATAATTTATATAGCTAAGATATATGAGAAAATATTTATGTTATTTATATAGTTTCTGTATTCCATGGGCAGCACCTGTGGGGTTTGTGTGTTCTGTCGGAAGCCACCTATCTGGGGAAATAACAGCCTGACTCCCACTGAGCTGGACAGGAAGTGACAAGGGAGGAGGTCATGTAACCTCCTGTGTCCCACTCCTGGGTCTGCCCTGGCGCTGGGGAGCACACTCCCCCCTGCCCCCGACCCCCCACCATGAGCCCCAGTGGGCTCAGCCCAGACCTTTCCTGCGAAGTCCGTAACTTCCCTGTTCTTCTGGGTCCCAGGGCCCCTGGTCTGCTCTGGCAAAACTGTCTTGCTCATAATAATAATGATGACAAGGATGACCACACCATTCATTTGTAGAGCACTTTTGATATTCAGAAACACTTGTTTCTTTCACCTCACTTGATTTCCCCCTTTGTCCCTGTGAGGCTGGTGGGGACACATCACTGTGCCCATTTCACGGATGCAGCCCAGGGATGAAGGGCTGTGCTCAAAGTCACACGGAAGAGGTTCCTTCAGTGACTATTTACTGACCTTTTCCATGGGCCAGGCACTGTGGGAGCTGACTTATCCTGAGCCCAAGGACTCAGGGCAGCGGCTGCTTACCTGGCTGTGTGTGACATGGGGGCATTTGGATTAGGACAGCACTTCGGCATTTCTCCAAGTAGAGCCCTGTTTCTCAGGGGGTACTGCCCGAGAAGCCTGGAGAGACAAGGACCCCGTGGAGGCCACTCCAGGGGCTCCACAATTGGACCCCTTTCCTTCTGCCCAGGCTCCCGAGAGGGTTGGGTGACGTCACAGGGCCCCTCCCAGCCCTCAGATGGGTTTTGTTTGCTCTCATTTGTGTTTTTATTTTTTAAATGTAATGCTTTCCATTGGATTTCCAGCTTCTCTTATTAAATCAGCTGTCCTGGCAAACTGGGCCTGCATGCCGACCTGGTCAATCAGCTCGAGAAGGGGAGCTCTATCAGGCAGGAGGCATGGGGCCCCCCAGTTTGCCAAGTACCATCCACCTTAGGCCACTGCACTCACAGGTTCCACCTGGCTCTCGAGGGCACATTGTCTCTGTCCCCTGGTCTAGATAAACCCAGCTTCCCTGGGTTCCATTGCCTGGCAGGCAGACGGACAGACCTGTGCTAACCCTGAAGATCATTTCTTGCTTTCCAGAGTTTTCTTTCTCAACAACCATGAACTTCAAATTCTTTTTCTCAGCACATTTTAGAGCTACAATGGGAGCTATCACATACTGAGCACCTGTGCTGTCCACCCATTCAATTAACAATTGTTTAGGGAGCTCCTACTGAGTGCTGGGCACCACCCTGGGGGTTGGGGGACAGCAGTAAGTAGTACCAAGCCCCTACCTCCTGGGGCTGACACTCTAGTGGGGGAGAGAGACGATAAACCAATAAACTACATGTCAGTTATCTGCACCCATTTTGTCTCGATTTATTGCAATCACCGCGCACATCGGACAGAATCACCCCCATCTTATGATTAAGGAATCGGCGTTTGTAAGATGTGAAAGCTCCCGAGCAAGCAGTGGTGTCAGGACTGGAACATGGTGCTCCAAAGTACGGGTTCTTCTCCTCTCTCCACTGCTGCCTGCCCTCAGATGTCGGCATTGCAGGGATGGACCCCCCCTTTTAAGGATTTTGGCAAAATACGCCTAGAGAAAGGAAGTAACCCATCCAAGGTTACATGCCAAGTCAGGCCCGGTTGGAGCCTGGGTCCCCTCCCAGAGATAATAAATATTTCTAGTGCCCTCATTTGGTGGCCAGCAATGCGGGTTGGGGTGGGGGCAAGACAAGACAAATCAGAAGCCTCCAGGGGCTTAGGGTTGGTTAGGAGACATGAGAGGCTCACCATGCAATAGTTTGGGCTGTTTACGGGTCAGCCCCAGAGTCCTTCCTCTGGCCATACTGCCTTCCCAGCATGCTTTGAGAAGTGCAAGTTCTCAACCAGCTGCTGCTCCTGGGGGTCTGATGAGGCAGGAGGTCCCTTTCTGACCAAAGGGCAGCAAAGAGGGCTTGTTCCTGCCCTGCCTCTGCTCTCCAGCCCTGCTGGTATCCACAAGGGATTCCCCAGGGAGGGAGGCAGAGGGAGGTCCGTAGTCCAACCTTGAGGGCCCCTGCAGTTCTACCTACATGCCTGCCTTAATGTGTTCTTCCTGCCTGGTATTCCTTGGCCTGGAGCTGGTTCTGAGCAGCGACAGAAGTGTCCACATGCAGTCCAGGCTCCAGGTGGGCACCCTTCTTCCCTTGGTACAGATAGGGAAACCGAGGCACAAAATGGTTAAGTGACTCACTTCAGGCCACATAGCTAGGAATCTGACCCAAGTCTTTGCCTCCAAACTCTATGTTCTTTTTACCCTACGCTGCCTTCAGCCTCCCCCACCCCCCCCCTGAGCCTTTCCCTGCTCTTGCCCATAAACCAGTTCGCAAATCGACCCTCTGGACTCTCCACCCTTAGCGGCTCGGTTGTACCACTCTTCCTGGGGATCAGCACTTGCTGAGACAATTGCTAGCTGGGTACTTTACCCATAGTATACCCCTTTAAAAATATTTAGCCACATTTGCTCATTGTGTGTGTGTGTGTGTGTGTGTGTGTGTGTGTGTGTGTATTTTGTGGAAGCATTTGTGAGAACACTGCAGACACCAAGACACTTAAATATTTTCTCATATATCTCATACGAACAAGAACATTCTCCAAAAGAGCCACAAAGCCATCATCACATCCAAAAAATTTAATATTGACACAATATTATCTACTACATAGTCCCTAGCCAGACTTTCCCAAGTGTCCCTCAAAACGTCCTAAGTTCTTTTCTTCCTGATTCAAGACCCACTCACGAGTCGGGCATTACATTTAGTTGGTATGTGTCTCTAGCCCCTTCTAATCTCAAATAATCTCCCTGCCTTCTTTGCTTTCATGACATTGACCCTTTGAGGAGTTCAGGCCAGAAGTCTTGTAGAATGTTTCTTAATGGAGATTTGTCTGACTGGTTCTTTATGATTACATTCTGGTTAAACACTTTGGTAAGACATGTACTTGGGTGATGTGTGCCCTTCTCGGTCCATGCTCTCAGGAGCCACAGAGTGTCGGTTTGTCAGCATTACCGGCGATGATGGATTTCATCACTTGGTTA